ATCATCACAGGTAACAATGCCACATCATTCCAGGACTTCATCTCGGTCCTTGCTCGTCGCTTCTTGCTTAAAGACCTCAGCACTCTTCACTACTTTCTTGGTGTTGAAGTTGTTCCTCGCCCTTAGGGTCTTCTTCTCTCACAACGAAGATACATTTCCGACTTGCTGGCTCGAACAAAGATGACTGATGCTCGACCAGTCGCCACTCCGCTTTCCACCTCTCCCATCCTCACTCTTCAGTCTGAGACAACACTTACTAACCCAACTGAATTTCGAGTTATATAGTCTTCAATATCTCTCACTTACTCGTCCAGACATTGCCTATGTAGTCAACAAACTATCTCAATACATGCATCGTCCAACTACCGAACACTGGAATGCTGTCAAGCGACTTCTTCGATATTTGTGCGGCACCATTGATCATGGCATCATGTTACATTGCCAGTCGCCTCTAGCCCTACATGCTTATTCAGATGCGGACTGGGCTATTAACAAAGATGACTTCACCTCCACCAGTGCTTATATTGTCTACATAGGACGAAACTCGATATCCTGGAGTTCAAAGAAGCAACGAACCGTAGCTCGCTCCTCGACTAAAGCCGAGTATCGATCTGTTGCATCAACAGCTGCTGAGGTGAGATTGATAACATCTCTTCTTAGTGAACTTGGATTTTCATCCTCACAACAACCGGTAATCTATTGTGATAATGTGGGTGCAACAAACCTCTGCTCCAATCCGGTCTTCCATTATCGCATGAAACATGTGGCTCTTGACTTTCACTTCATTCGCGAACAAGTTCAAGATGGCATCTTACGAGTCACTCATGTCTCTTCAATGGATCAACTTGCCGATGCACTCACCAAACCATTACCCCGCACGCGTTTTCATGACTTATTGAACAAGATTGGTCTCACCTCAAGGTGCTCCAACTTGCGGGGGCATAATAGAGAATCAAATTAATATATTTAAAACTGTACTTATCTCATTCTCCTAAAATATAGGATATTCAATTCATATCTAAACAATATTGATATATTCTTATTATTCTTTAGTTAGTTTAATATAGAAATATTTTTGTTGTAACAAACTGATTCTCTGTAAGCTTATTTATATATCCTAACATTAATGAAAAGATTATGCTATTATTCATTCACTCTTACTTTTCTATAGTTTAAACAGTATGGGGAAAGCAATTATGATGAAAAGGGTTAGTATATCATTACCCATATGAAAATCATATTTTAAGTAAAGTAAAGGGCACCATCAAACACAGTAAAGATAAAGTTGTACAAGTCATTGCAAAGTGAATGACAATGCCACTCTCTAGACCAAAGAAAAAGCACAGCGTGACGGTGTTCCAGGTAGATTTGTTTTTTTCAGATGGCTGGTGGGTCCTTTCCTTTAACTCCTCTTTAATCGCTAAATTCCTTTAACAGTTTCCATTTTATATAAAATTTGTGGGACCATATCAAGCTTCCGTTTATTTTATATATATGCGACCGATTTAATTACTAATTTTACATTACATATTTACTGTTGATTTAAATGGGTTCAAAATATAACTATTTTTAGTAACAAAAAAGGTTATATACATATTTTAATTATCAGCTTGATTGTATATAGTAAATACTCTGATTTTATGGCTAATTATAATCAAAACTTCGTAAAGGGGAAATTTTAGCCTACAAGTTCAAACATCTGGTAAAGGTTGATTTTACCATCTGGGGTTCCTTTTGCTTGGGAAAATCTTCTCAAAAATTTTGAACATTGTAGGTTTTTTAGAGCTAGGATTTTGTTCTTTTTTCAATGATACATCTCTAAGACGGAAATTTGGACTGCTTTGGGAAAGGATTTATGGAGTTTAGTGCTTCAAATCCCTTTCCCTTTTAGTCATAAAACAACCATTCATCTTTATATTATTCTTAATTTCAACATCATAATTGAATCCAATGAGTGCCTCGTTAATAAAGAAGATATATTTTTATTATATTTCGAATAATATTATTGATAAATATAGATTATTTAGACTAAAAACAAATATCGATACTATTATATAATTCCATTAGAATGCTAAACAAATTACTATAATTAAATGATATAAATATCAGGTTTAATTTAATAGCTATGAACCACCGGATTTAGTAGATAATAAAATAATATATATAGTTTATTTGCAATAAAAGAAAAAAGCGGGTGCCTCAATAACCCTAGTCTTGAAATGTACGTAGAAGCATAGGAGGGGGCACATGGTATACGCCAGCGTCAAGGAAAAGTAAAACATCACAATCTTAATTATATGCCCTAAATTCTTAAAGTGCAATCCCATGCATTGTTTAAGCCACCAATTATTATTATTATTATTATAATACAAATCGGATAACATTTGTTTATGTTTTAATTTATTTAATTAATCGTGTCTGAACGTATACTTTAATACCCTTTCATCGTTATATATACTTGCTATTCTTATAGAATACAAGTTGGCTTTATCGATACCCCTGACATAAAGCTTTATTTTATTTTAATTACAACAGTAATCTTGCGATTTGAGTCAGATTAATCTCAGCTACTCATCACTTTGTTTCTCCTTTTTTTACATTAAAGCTGTAACTGTCAATAACTGAAATGTCCACATGCTTAAAATTGCGTACATATTATTAGTTTAATTTTCAAATTCAGAATTTATCTGTTGCATATTATAAATGGAAATTTTTATTGCATAAACAATTGAAAATTAATCTGCTGAATTATACAATGACATATATATATTATGTAATTTATGATTATCCATGACATATATTAACAAAATGATCATATATCGTTATTTTTTTAATTACTAAGATTGCATTACTTTTCCATCAAAGATTTGCTAAATCATACATCAATAAAACATGATAGAGTGGGTCTCGTTTTGTCCTATTGTTTAATGTGAAAAAACATCACATGTCGATAGAACCAAATTTAATAAGCATTTAACAAAGCGTATTATTATTGATGTCAGAGTTTAAGGTTTTAATGAGTTGTCAATTGCTTTAATTAATATCTTCTGTATCAATGTATGTATGTTCATACCATATACGGTAATCATATTCTTTGAGCATGAAATGACCGTCTAGCTCAGTTGGTAGAGCGCAAGGTTATTAACTTTGAGGTCGGGGGATCAAGACCCACGGAGGGCATTTCATAATTCGGAGGTCTCCCATGAAAGCTGCTCTCAACCTAACGTTGGAGGCAGCCTACTATCTTACCTCCCCTTACCCCATTACATATGGGAATAAGGGTCAGCTAATTTTTTATATTCTTTGAGTATCAAAAGAATAATGAATGATGTGCCAAGAGTACAAGGAAAGCATAATATTTCACAATACACATTAGAACATTGAAATTAGAATGAATATTATTATATAATATTAAAATACAAAACGGATACAAACGGATACAAACAATAACAATAATAGGAATACAATAATTCTAATTAATTGTTATGGTTTAACATACCAAGTGGTCTAGTGATAAAAGAGAATATTGTTCTACTTAGAGGTTTTAGGTTTGAGTAACTGTGTGTGTATATGGGGTAGATGCGTTATTAATTGGTTAATAAAATTTGAACATATATTACTTTATAATCACCATAGATTATTCAAAAACAAATTAATTGTTATGATAAACAATCATCCTATATAGGGCTGTAAAAAACGAGACAAATGACGAGTTATTCGAGTTCAAGATGGTTAAAGTTTGGTCAAGACTCGAATCAAATAAAATTGATTCATGTTCTCAATGATTCAAAGCGAATTACTTGATATTTAATTCGAAAAAATAATATATTAATTTGTTTAGTTAAACTATTAAAAATAACATTTATATGATTTTTTATAAATATAATATAAGATTTTCATGTACTTAAGGTTCTAGTTCGAACTCAAACTCGAGTTTAAACTTCAATCGAGCTAAATCTAAGAATGTTCCGAGTTTAAGTTTTTTTCGAGATTGGGTTTAGTTTTAATTCGATCTTAACAATTTTAAACTCGCGAGCCTTCAAGTTGAGCTTCAATTTATTTTCAAGTTCAAGTCTAGCTTAATAATTTTAAATCAAATCAAACTTAACTTTAAATTTTTAAAATCGAATCATATTTAATAATATTCTAACTAAATTCAACTCGTTGAAGACCATAGTCCTATTATCATTTTTTAAAAATAAACATAGATAATTTGAAAAACTACTCTTAAAATACACATTAAAAGAAAGTATAATAATAATAATAGGTGTAGGTAGAGATACAGGGCAGAGGTTTAGTATTGCGTGTGGGAAGATGTGGAAGGGGTTAGTGGCCCACATGGCCTTTTTAGAGGAACCCTGTTTTTGTTAGTTTGTGAGCAGACAAAAGCAGAAGCTTCTTTATCCCTCCCGATTGCCTTTTGCCCTTTTCCATCAAATCCTAATTCCTTATTTCTCGTATTTATTCTCCTTGTTCCATCCCTATAATTTATCACCTTTTTAATTGATAAAATCAAACCATACATATTTTTTATCAGGATTAAAATAACAAATTTTAAAAAAATAATTGGAGTCATTTATTATTTTTATATGTTTTATGATAATAGAATAGTCAACATCAATAGCGATAATTAATATAATTATTTAATAAATAAGTAATTATGATATGAAAATTAAATCTCGGATCTCATGATAAATTGAATGAAATAGACAACCATCTGATCACTGCCCATTATTACAATGTGGATCTAGGCATATTTAATTATGGAATAACTTTATTTTTTTAATTACTAAAACTGGCAGCTGTAATGGCAAAGTATGTAATTATAAGGAATTTATAAGGTCAAGTTGTTTAGCCTTATTCATTGTATTTTTTAGCGGAAGCCTCTGTATATAAAGTTGGATTTCGAAGCTAGTTGAATAGTGCATGATCCATTCTATTTCATTCCAAGAAAATCTTTCTGATTTTCCCTCTTTTTTCGTTTTCTTTAATTTCCGTCTCCTCTCTCTCTGTCGGAGCAGAACCGCCATGGCTCCCAAGACTCTACCTCCCGGTTTCAGGTTTCACCCAACTGACGAAGAGCTCGTCGCTTACTATCTCGATAGGAAAATAAGCGGTCGTACGATCGAGCTCGAGATTATCCCAGAGGTCGATCTCTACAAATGCGAGCCTTGGGATTACCAGGTATCAATTTTATAATCATTCATTGATGATTAGCTTCTTCTTACTATCCTATTACTGGGTTGGTGAACGTTGGTCTTTCACTGTGGAATTTAAACAAACAGATAAGTCGTTTCTTCCGAGCAAAGACATGGAGTGGTACTTCTACAGCCCAAGGGACAAGAAATACCCGAACGGGTCGAGAACCAACAGGGCGACACGCGGCGGATACTGGAAAGCCACGGGGAAGGATAGGACGGTGCAAACGTCGGGGTCTCAGAAGAGGGCGGTGGTTGGTATGAAGAAAACTTTGGTTTACTACAGAGGTAGGGCTCCCCACGGCATCAGAACTAATTGGGTCATGCACGAGTATCGCTTACTCCACTCCGCTTCTCCCACTGCTCCTTCCAGTTTAAAGGTACACCGCCCATTGTAATCTCTCTCTCTCTCTCTCTCTCTCTCTCTATATATATATATATATATATATATATATATATATGTATCGTGTGATTTTATATCGGTTTCATGTAGGCATCCAGACAACGAATCTCTTTGCATAAAATTAGACTATTAGTCTTAGTATTGTTCATTAGGGTTTGAGTTCACTGGTTATAAAATTAGATCTACTTCTCAACCTGTTTGTTAAAACAAAATAAAATTATTCCAAAGATAACTAGGGTTTAGAGAAAACAATAATATGATGCATGATTTTCTTTTGTACTAAATTATTATGAATGTTTCAATAAATTCCGTTAGTAAATACTGATTAAACAAACTTAAATGCCGCAAGGAAAATAATTCCTGAAACTTAATTTATTGAGTTATTTGATAAATCAAAGAATTTTCTTTGAAAGAGAATAAATCAAAGAAATTAAACATCATACATCGACTATAATCTCATCTAAATGAGTTGTTGTATATATGGTGAATAGTAAGAGAACATCTGATGTCCTCAATCATTACTTACATTACATACTGCTAATATATATTACTCCATATCTATGGTTCCAATTTTATTTTCTTTTGAAAAAGTAGATCACATGAATAAATTTTTTTTTTTGAAAGACTCTTTGGTTTTAATCTTCCATGCTTTATAGGTGTATAGCTGGTGATCTTCCTTTCTTTTTCTTTTTACCTCTTTCTAATATTCTTTTAAACACTTTGCATTTTACTGTTTAATTTTCTAAATATCTATATTTGATTCATTGAGAGAAATAAAATAAAGGGATTGGTGTTAATAACTAATCTTGCAAATTAAGCAGGACTCATATTCTTTATGTCGCATCTTCAAGAAAAACATACAAATTCCTAAAACAAAAGCAGAAGCAACTATTGTGAATAATCAGTCGTTTGATAAAGAAATTTCAAGAGAGAGAGAAGCTGAACGTGATGTTGAAGATGAGAATTTCATTACTTCTTCCTCGGATGTCACTCAAGGAACTCCCAATGAAACCGGCATTGTTGATGAATTCCAAGCTCCATTCACATCAGACGAAGCTAATAGTTCAGTTGATTTGAGTTTCCTCGACCCAAATTTCTCCTCCGACCTAAATCAGGTACGATATAACATGAATATGATAAGAATATAAGCATCATTATTATTTCAAATAAAATAAAAGAAAGTATTAAATAGAACGTAGGAGTAGAAACATCATGTGTAAGATGTGCAGTGTGCATGCCTTGGGAGATTTTATAATGGGCCATACCATGATTCTTAAAAATAATAATAAATCTGCTTTAGACATCTTTTTATGTTGAAGACATGATTATATACTTTGCCAAAATTGGATTTTTTTTACAGCAATATTCTGCTTTATTGCCCTGCTTTTATCACCACCAAAGGCTTCAAAATCACTCTCAGTCTTCCCCCTTCCCCCTTCCCATCCCAACTCTTGAAAGTACAATCAGCTGATCAGATGTGGGTTGGAAAATTGGCCCACCAAACACCCCACTTTGAGTTGGCTTTTCATCTTAAACTAAACAAAAAAGTTGGGACCAAATGAAACTCTTCACTCTCTTTTCCTAAAGCTCTATCACTCATCTCTATGGCTTTGTTGACTATCTTACACAACTTCTTTTGACTGACCTAAACATCTTTCTCTTAGCCAGAATTTGCACAATTTTTTTCCATTCAAAAACCCACTTTCTTTTTCACCTTATCAACACACCAACTTTGGGACCTTTCAAACTCTTTTCAATTTGGACTTTGAATCATGTCACTTCATAAAAATACTCAGAACATTTACTTCCTTTACTCCTTCAGTCTTTCCTGGATTAAGCTCATCTGATTCACATGTGTGTTTATGTCCGTTTTAGGAAATGCAGATTCCGGGTTACACAAATCTTCATTATCAAGCTCCATATCCACCGTTGGAGCTCGAAGATTTCCCGCAGATAAATATCATATCAGAGACGAAGGCGTCCAAGGCTGAGATAATCGATGAGTACATGATGCATGACAAGTACAAGGACTACATGAACGGATCATTAGAAGATATCTTCTCACTGTGTGCCTCCCAGGACAATTCCATTCCCCCTCTCTCAATGCATGATTGAAAACACACTAACAAAAACATCAGTATTAACAACGTTAATATACTTATAATATCATTTTTCTTTTAACTTATTTTCGAATACTATAATCTTTTATTATTATTATTTATAACACAAAAGGTAAAAGGTTGTGTTAGGGCAAATGATCGAAATTGGAAGATTATTTTGCCAAGCACAAGATGATAAGGTTACATAGTCTTGGTTTCCTTCTTTCTTTCATATTGTGGTTGAAAAAGCTGTTGGGTCAATTTTGAATGGGAAGTGGATAAATCGTTTTGTAATTTCTATTGATCAGCCAATTAATGCTTCAATTGTCTATATTTATTGCGGCAAAACTTTCGAGATAATGTTCTGGAAAAAATTAATTCACGAGATAAAACACTCCCAAGATTAATTGCTCAAATAAGGTGAAATCCACAGTGTTGGTCGTAGGTCGCCATGCCTTCCGGGCGACCTACTAGGTCGCCATGTCTTCCCGGCGAGCTACAAGAGATTGCATGTGCCATGCACGTCCCAACACGCTGGGCATCCGAGGCCATCCGACCAGGCCATCCGACCAAGGCAATCCGAGAGCATCCGACCGAGCTATGCGAGGGCAACTGAGCGAGCTATGCGAGGGAATCCGAGGGCAACCGAGCGAGGGTAGGTCGCCCGGAGGGCATGGCGACCTACAAGGTCGCCCGGAAGGCATGGCGACCTACGACCAACACTGTGGTTTTCACCCTATTTGAGCAATTAATCTTGGGAGTGCATTAGCTCGTGAATTAATTTCTTTCAGAACATTATCTCGAAAGTTTTGCCTATTTATTGCTATCAAAATTTTAAATTATGCCCCTTTTACCTAAGTTTTCAAACATTGTTTGAGATAAGGTAAAGACTACATTGCCAAGAAAAATGCAAGTCACCAATTTAATTTATTCGTTCTTGCCTTAGTTATTCATTGGTGGATGCATGTCGGAGACTTGCAAGGTACTTGACGATGTCCACCACTTCATTCACTGTACTGGGATTACTTTGAATTTGTTTCTATATCCATGAATCTACCTCCAACACATGAACATATGGAAGGAAAGCTTACCAAATTTCAAAATATTACTTTCATCAATTGTGTTGTAGCTATAAGCATTGCAATATCAGGGTATAAACCCATGGAATTATATTAAATCATATTATCAATATTATGGATGAGGAGGAGCCTATCCAAATCCAAGCGGGGAAAAAGAAAACCGAATCTTAAAAAATAATTTTCTGAATAATCTGATAAACCCCACTTTGACAGTAAAAAAAACAATTCTATCTGAAAATCAAAAGAATGAAATGAATGATGCTTTAGATCTTACGTCTGCTAATAATCGTAATGTACCCTCCCCACATGAAATTAATTGACAATTCATTTTAAATTAGTTCAATCTCATCAATAATTCATTTAATTCATTAGTAGTGTGATTTAAATGAATTATCGATGAGATGGAACTAATAATAAAAATGGATTATTATTATGTCACGAATATGGTTCAAATAATTATAAATGTCTTATTTTTTATTTGATTATATATTATCGTGTAAATTTTAATTTTAGTTATTGTATGTTTTCGATTTTGATTGTTTTTGTTGAAAGTAAAAAATAATAATGGGGTGGCTGTGGAAAATTGGTTTTGGGCGGCTAATGTTGTAACACCCCCAACCCGTACCCGATCCGGATAAGAGTCAGAGATATTACATTAACTTTTAAAACACGACTCTTAACCAATAATAGCAAAATATTTGAATTTATATTAAGAAAATACGATAATATACATATTGTAACATAAGTTTACCAAAATATTCAGAGCATACACAACTTAACCCTTTAATTACATGCCAACTGCCATTTACATAACAAAATGACATACTGATTAAGTTGCTTCTGATCTGGGGGTTGCAGGAGTAATACTATCAAGCTGCTTCACCTGTCTCGTCTATTTTCTCGGACCCTACGTGTGAAACACTCACACGCTAAATCATCGACTTAGTGAGGCAATAATAATAACAAGGCAATGTAATGAAAATGTCATGATCATATGAGATGAGATGCAAACATGTACTTAATCAATGTAATATACATCATCAATATCCATACCTGTAAGCGTATGACTGTAACATTCATGAATCTGTATTAATAAGTTTATTGGCCCATGATAGCATATTGAGAACCTAAGGTATCTGAGTAATATGAGGTTGTGCACTATGCTGTCACCACAACTCGTATAAATGCACCGAAGTGCCGCGTAGAATTGCACCATAGTGCCATATAATGATGTCCATAAGGACCACATATAATTCCTTAAGAATCATATACATATACTAGGGATCAAGTATGTGTCTTTCCAAGACTTCACACATGTTCCACAGAATATATATATATCCCGAAGGACCGCGTAGAATTGCACCGTAGTGCCATATAATGATGTCCATAAGGACCACATAGAATTCCTTAAGAATCATATACATATACTAAGGATCAAGTATATGTCTTTTAAGACTTCACACATGTTCCAAAGAATATACATATGTCCCGAAGGACCGCGTAGACCCTCTACCCTTGGCATGCCAACTATACCTATAGTTCTCATCTACATAACATGGGCTTTTACATTTCACGTAGTCCTTATCGCGTAGACATGTAAATTCTTACCTCTTCACATAGCTCATAACTTTTCTCACATAGTCATGTCATAAAATGCATTTTATATGAACTCATGTCATGTCTCATAATACAAAATATGCTCATGTACCAAGATATAAAATCTAGACTTATCACAAGTCTAGAATGAAGTATATTTCTATAATCATGCTATGCATATGCACTCACCTATACTTCTTTGCCTTTTCCTCGATCGATCCTACTTGTAGATTGTTCCCGAACTCGTGTAGGCTCGGTATCTACATAAACAAAATTTTCAAGATGATCATCAGATGTATATGTCTTGAAATTAAGCTTTAATAGCTTACTAATTTAAGGAATTAATAGCTTAGTCTTTCTTTCTTTTCTTTTCTTTTTTCTCATGGGGGAATCGGTTCCCCCCCTGGGGGTATCGATTCCCCTCTAGCATTCTGGAAATTCATATTCGTTGAGGGGGTATCGGTTCCCCTTGAATGGGTACCGATTCCCCTAGCCCAAAAATCCTATTTTGAGCTCGAAAATCATCTCCTTTCAGCTCAAATATACATATTTCACTCCCTTTAATACTCTTAGCTTCCATACACTTACTTAAACTAATTATTATCCATTCTATACCTCTAAAACTAAAGAAACTAATCATCCATATAGAATTGAAGAATCTTACTCCAATTCCAACTTGTTCTAATTTCAATTCTATTACCTCATACTTCTTAATTAACTTATTGACAAGTCAAAAATCTTATTCAAACTTCAAAAACTCATCCATATCAAAATTTCATCTAAAAACTCATTTTCCAAATCTATCTCTAAAACACTTATCTTGTTGTTTTAATGTCATATAAGCTTTCCTTTAGCTTATATAACATCCAAACTTCAATTTCCAAGCTAAAAATCAAAGAAACTACCAAGGTTCAGATTCTTACCTTTACTTGCAAGCTTCACGTTTGGAGAAGGAATAGAAGAAGATAAGGAAGAAGGAAGAAGAAATGAGAGGATTCTGGAATACTAATGCCCCACGTGATTTATAATATCACCCTATAACATTTTTTTTAATTATAATTTTTCCTTACAAATGACCATTTGGTCCTTACATTCATTTCATATTTACTAACCATTCTTTTTAAACTATATAATTATTCTACTTTAATCACCAAATGTTGAAACTTTGCAAATTAATCACTAACCCGACATGGAGGATGTTACAAATGTAATCAAAATTAGGTAACAAAATTGTTGAAATTAAATGGGATAACTACAACATTTAATCCCTAAATTTTAAGATATTTATAAGATTAGTCCTTAAGCTTCAACTATAAATACCCTAGCTCATTTAGCTTCAAAACCATCCCAAAGCATTCTAGCTTTCTTCCAATACTAGAGAATTTAGAGAGTTTCTTGAGAGTTGTTTTCTCCTTTTTATCAAGAGAGAATTATCATTGTTTTCTCCTAGGTAGATAGAGAGAAGTTATAATTTCTATTTTCTCATAGTGAAATTCTTCTACCGTTGCCCGTGGTTTTTTACTCTATATTATTTAGGGGTTTTCCACGTAAATTTTGTGTCTCTTTTATCCTCATTTTTATTTTCTCAAATTATCAGTTGCGATTTTGCTCTATCCGATAGCCGTCTTTCGCAACAATTGGTATCAGAGCCATATTTGAGTGTGTAATATCTGTTTATTGTCTTTGTGGTTGCCACCAAAAGGTGGATCCTCAAACATAAGAAAGTAAGAAGGTATTACCCATTCTTTGAAGGTTCCAGAGAACTATTCACGATAGTGAAATAGTGTGAGATATTCGAAATAGAAGCTATGACAACGAAATTTGATATTGAAAAATTTAATGAGAGAAATTTCTCATTGTGAAAAATTGAAGATGAATGTCATCCTGAGGAAAGAAGGTTGTCTAGCAGCTATCAGTGAAAGGCCGGTGGATTTCACAGATGACAACAAATGGATCGAAATGGACGGGAATGCTATGACAAACTTTCATCTAGCATTAGCAGATGAAGTATTGTCAAGCATCGAGGAGAAGAAGACAACTAATGAGATATGAGATCATCTCACCAAACTGTACGAGGCCACATTGCTGCACAATAAAATTTTCCTTAAGAGAAAATTGTACACTCTCCGTATGCCAGAATCTACTTTAGTGACGGAGCACTTAAACACGCTGAACACTTTATTTTCTCAGCTTACATCCCTAAGATGTACAATAGGAGAACAAGAACGTGCTGAACATCTACTTCAAAGTCTACCAGATTCGTATGATCAACTCATCATCAACTTGACAAACAGTAATGTCACCAGTCTAGTCTTCGATGACGTTGCAGCTGTTGTTCTAC